GAGAATCACTTGAGCCCAAGAGTTTAAGGTTGCTATGAGCAATGATGCCACTGGCACTCTACCAAGGGTGACAAAGTGAGACTCTGTCTCAAACAAAAAAAAAAGTTATCCAGACAGATCCAAGGGCAGAGTCCTGTGGCACAGCCTGGAGACCTCCAGCTACTAAAGGATCTTTTTTGACTGCTTGACTTATGACTCTAACTCTGTTATCATTATCCCTGCCTTTTTCCATCTTGTTCATAAAGATATCATGCTAAAATCAATACATGCCTTTTCTATTTCAATTCCTTGTGGGTAAAACATTAGTCAATCTGGAACTATCCCCTTTCAGAGAAAGGTAGTAGGTGCATAATCATGGGGCATCTTGCTGCCCCTACATCATATCCCAGAGCTCAGGCATAGCTACATGTGTTTGCCAGAGGAGTTTTTTGTGTTGAGTCAATAAAAAAACAGTGAGATTGGGCAGCGCCTGTGGCTCAAAGGAGTAGGGCGCTGGCCCCCTATGCTGGAGGTGGCGGGGTCAAACTCAGCCCCTGGCCAAAAACAACTGCAGGAAAAAAAAAAGTGAGATTGACAGATGGTAACACGGAAGCAGATTTGAACATTCTGAACTAGAAGGAGCTGGGACCGGGGGTGCCACCTGGGGGTGGCACATGTGCTAATCAAATTCCATTTAAGTTTCATTTTCTTTTCTGTGGCAGATGTGGTTAGAATTTAGTGCTTGTGGCTCGGCACCTGTGGCTCAAGTGGCTAAGGCGCCAGCCACATACACCTAAGGTGGTGGGTTTGAATCCAGCCCGGGCATGCCAAACAACAATGACAGCTGCAACCAACTGTGGTCCTACCTACTTGGTGGAGGCAGGAGACTCGTTTGAGCCCAGGAGTTGGAAGTTGCTGTGAACTGTGATGCCATAGCACTCTACCCAGGGGGACAGCTTGAGGGTCCAGCTCAAAAAAAAAAGGAAAAGAATTTGGCGCTCAGGAGGTTGGGCTTGGGGCAAATACCTCAGGCTAAGTCATTACAAATGCAAGTCACTTGCAAGTCTTTTCCAAGGACAACCTCCGAGTCTGGGAGCTGCCCAGGGAGTGACACTTCCCAGAGGTGTGGCACTTGCTCTCCAAAGGGAAAGGAGAGGTTCTGGGGCCGGGCATGGTGCCTCACACCTGTAATCCTAGCATTCTGGGAGGTCGAGGCTGGTGCATTGCTTGAGCTCAGGAGTTTAAAACCATCCTGAACAAGAGTGAGACCCCATCTCTACTAAAAATAGAAAAACTAGCAGGGCATTGTGGCAGAAGCCCATAGTCCCAGCTACCTGAGAGGCTGAGGCAGGGGGATTGGGACCAAGAGTTTAAGGTTGCTGTGAGTCTGATGCCACAGCATTCTCCCCAGGGTGACAGAGTGAGACTGCCAGAGAAAGAGAGAGAGAGAAGGAAGGAAGGAAGGACTGGGTGTGGGGTTTTGGCTCAATAGGCGCCTCAAGGAAGCTGAAGAGTTATCATACTGGCTGGGGAACATGAAGATGAACCACTTTGCCTTGATTTTCCAGCTCTCCTTTGGCTTGGGAGCTGTGGGGCAGGGACCTGTGGTTAACCAGAAATTGCTAGTCCTTACCCAGTCCCTACAAGCACAAGGGAGAGAAGATGACCAGAGGAGCAATCAGGGGAAGAAAGGGCAATTGGTGTGGGAGAGGAAAATGAGAAGAATGCTTAAGATACATGGTGACCGTGGCCATTTTATTTGATTCTTTACTCAAATACTCCCTTGGGAAAAGCGTCTGGAATCGACCACCCAGGTGCTGACAGTAGAAAGAGCGCAAAACCAGAAACCTAGTCCTGGTTGTATCGGTGCCATCAGGCCTGCATTTCTTCTTCTGTAAAATGATGGCTGTAGGGAACCAACTAGAGAATCTCTGTGACCTGCTCAAACCCTAAAATCCTGAGTAAGCATAGGAGTGTTCCACGGTGAAGGGTGGAGAAAGTGGCCGAAATCTGGACAGTGTGGAGATCATGGTCAGGCATCATTGCACAGACCCATCTGCATCCTTGGAACATCCTGAAGCCAAGAAGGGAAAAGCATAGTCTGCCCTGTCTATAAGAAATTCTAGGCTAGGTAGTAATCACAGCTACTTAGGAGGCTGAGGCAGGAGGATCGTGTGAGCCCAGGAGTTTGAGCCTGCAGTGCACTGTGATCCCTCCACTGCACTCCAACCTGGGCAACAGAGTGATACCCCATGTCCCAAAAAAAATAAAAATAAAAAATAAAATTAATAACAAAGAATGAATTTCAGAAAATGACCTTAAGGTTTGGTCCTTTCCAAAAAGAACAATCTACAATTTAGAGACTAATTTCTCAGATCCTGGATCTCAGCAGTCTCAGCTTTCTAACTTGAGAAAGCTTTTTCTGAAACCGCTGCCTCCAATTCTGAAATAATGCCATGTTTCAAACTGGGGCCCAGACAGCAGCAAACCTGCAAGCCCTTGGAGTGGGAAGTGGGCAAGAAAAAACGATAGGTTGGGCACAGTCCAGTTCTCAGCCTTAAGGATAAGTCCAGAAATGGAGGAAGGAAACTCAAGACACACAGGGAGGGAAAAATGGCTTTTATGCTGCCTTTCCAGGGCCAGGCTGTACTTTTTGACACACTTTTCCTGACAAAACGCCAATGTTCTCACCACATAAATACTAGCTGACATTAATAACAATAGCATATGAGACCATTATCTGTAAAGATGCCAGACTGCATGCAAATGGGCTAGAAATACCTTGGGGAATTTCACAAAAATAAGACGAAGAGCAAAGAAACACCGCCAATGGAGATTGAGAACAAATTCCTTAATGACGGTGGGAGGCAGGAAGCAAACTGCTCATAAACACACGCCTCTTAACATGGGATGCGTCTGCTTCAAACCTACTGAGTACCTGCAGCTCTGTTCCGTCCACAGCAAAGCAGCTGCAGAAGTCTGCTTCTGTGAGGCGCCAGCTCCCTGAGTGCTGATGCCTGAGGTGTCACTGCCATCAAGTGGAACTGTGGGGTATGGCAGCTGTGGACAGCCTCGGCCTGAGGTGAGGGGCAGAGAAACAAGAGACACATTTGCACTGACAGTGAAAGAGGAGAGAAAGACTGGAGTTTTATTTCATCATCACCCATTTAGTTCAAGGGAGATACCCTTTGGTTCCCCACCATCGACCAACTGGAAACACCAGGGCCAGGCTGCGCCGCACCTGTGCGTTCTATTTCAGCCTAGGTGGAGATGGATACACTCCACAAAGTCGAATTCCTCTTCTCCAATGCAGTGATTCTCCGATGCCAGCACCTCCAGTCCCTAAGAGGTCTACACTTAAACAAAAGAGCTTATTCATGTGCATATGTGAGACCTGCAGACAGGTTAACAGGCACGGGTGTGACAAGTGCTGTGTGCACACAGAGCATTCTCCTGCCACCTGGCAAGAAAGAAAAGTCAGGGAGAAGATGGTCTACTTGTTCAAATTCCTGAGACCATTTTATTTCTTAGAAGAAGGACAAATATGGGTGCCATTTCCAGATCCTCTCCAGTTTTTGAATCTGAATTAGAAGTCACAGGAGGAAAGAGAAACGCATGGCTTTGAAGAGCCACGAGGATCCAACAGCCCACCAGATCCCTCTTCCCTAAAGAGAAAACAGATCTGCAGCATTCTGCGGCTCTAAGCCCTTGCTTGGTTGACAGGACAAAGACCAGAGAAGGAAATTAAAGAGGGAAGGGACATGGTATAATTTCTATTCCTTTAATGTTACTGAGGTTTGATTTGAATCCTAGGATGTGATATATTTTGGAGTATGTGCCATGAGCTGATGAGAAAAAAGTATATTCTTTTACTTTGGGATGGTATGCTCTGTGTGTCTGTCTATTAATCCCATTTGATCTAGAGTCACAAAAAAATAATAATAATAAAACAAAGAGGGAAAGGAATGTGGATGTCTTGAGTATCTACACTATGGCAGAATATATGTGAAATTATAACTCATGTTGTTTTCAAATCATAGCAAACTTCACCGGGCCATCAGAGATGTCCAACCTTTTGGTTTCTCTGGGCCACACTGGAAGAATGGTCTTCGGCCACATACTAAATATATGAACACTAATGAAAACTGATGAGCAAAAAAAAGTCCATGAATAATTTTTGATATCTTCCACCACCGATCAACAAAAAAGTCCTCATATAATCCACATGTGGCCTGTGGACAGCAGGTTGGACACCCAATATCATTATTTACTTTATTTACTTATCATTCTCTCTTTTCAGGAAAAAAAAAAATTAGGCTACCAAGTGCAAATCCTATCAAGGAAAGCTTGAGGGATGTAAACGTCCCTAACTCAGCCGTCATCCACTCACCTCTGGCTCACCTCACCTCTGCCCCACGCTAGTTTTGCCTTTTGATGAAAAGCAGAGTGTCTGGCTCTTAGGAGGGAACTGCCCAGCTTAGCCATGAATTTTTACATCCCATTTACTTTCTATGCACAGCAATTCTTTTTCTCCACCACCAAAAAGAGATTTCCTATTGTTCTGCCTCACAGAGCTGTTTCTTGGATTAAGTAAATAATAATTGGTAGGTATCATGTCTTTGCCAAGAAATATTATGAACTAAATCCATTAAATACAAAGGGATTGGGATTTGTCCTCTCCTATAATTAAACCTTGGGCGAAACATGAAACCGGCTTTGAGGTCTCTTCCCTGTCTATCTTGGGCTGCCAAACCCCATTCCAAGGTCGCTCCTCTGCCTGCCTGGAGCAAACTGTCAGGGCCCATGACAACCCTGGCTTTCTCATTGATGACAGCTTCAAAATCTGTCAGAGGATACATACTTGTCTTAGATGTCACAAGAGGAAAGAGAAACACATGGAGGTCTAAATGCAAACCAAGGGAAGTGAACCTGGAACTTCAGCTCCAACAGGAAGCCCCAGGGCGGGCCATGGGCTCTCCCTCTGCACCTCACCCCCACCACTCGCACTGCGGCCATCACCATGAAAGAGTTGCCACCACATCTTTATTGCATACCCAGGTGAGTAACTGATTATATGAGGAATGCTCCTCCGTCGGTAGACAGTGCCTGCTTCTAGAATGCAGGAGATAAATGCAGAGTAAATCTATTTACAGAGGCTGAGGATCAAGGAGACGGGAGAAGATTCAGTGCTGGGGATTTAGAGCCACAGCGGCACACTAATTCTCCTGGCCAGGAGCAGGTGGGCCTGTCCATGCTGGTGAGGTCTGGAGGAAGAACTGGTGGAGCATACGGAGAAGATCAAGTTTGCAGATGGTGGGCGAAGAGAGGGGTGACCTGTGAACTGGTGCTGGGAAGCTGCAGGGCCCTTACAGTGATTACTCAGGGCCATGGAGATGAGTAGATTTAGGTTGACCTTTAGCCTCTCCCACCCTGGCAAGAAGGGGGCTAGGGAGAACGGGAAGAGGGTGGGCAGGAAGGGATGGTGCCAGGAAGTTGGTTTCCAGTGTAGATAGGCGGGCGGGCTGAGAGACCAGCCTTTTGATTTTGCTCAGATTTGCAGTTCTGCTCTAGAACAACCAATCCAAACAAAACCCTGCTCAGGTTAGATGAGCTGGCCCCTAACGCTGGGCAAGCTGGTGTGTGGTCAGATCACCTTTAGTCCCATGTAAAATGGTGAGTTTACCCCTGAGGTGCCTGAGACTCTCACGTAACAGATGTGTCCTAAGTATGAGACAAAGGACCAATACTACGATGCTGCTAAGAAGCCAGGTGCTGTCAGCCCTCATCTGTCCAGGTGTGCAGAGACAGTGGTTGAGGCTAGGGAGGAGGCAGCTGTTCCCAGAGCATTTTGTACAGTTTTCTTAGAAGACTTAAGACTTGGCCCACGTCCCTTTGAGCTCCCAGCTGGGTCTTCTGCCTGGCTGTGCTTGTCCCGCTCTCTGGAACAGAGCTAACTGTCCTCTTTCCTTCCTTCATAGTTATTATAAGGGCTAGTCCGAGCCTGGGCCCGTGGGATGGAGAAATCCTTCTGGGGAACCCGATTCTGAAAAGAAAGCAACCACATTATTAAACCCACTCCAAGTCCTGACCATTTCAGCAGATCCACACTCTGAGTGGGAGTCTGATTACCTCTCCCCCCCCTCCCAAGCCCTCTTTGAAGTCTTCCCTGTGCCCAACTCTTGTCCTGGCCCTCCCCAGCTCCATGAAGCAGATTACAGGAAAAAAGACCTATCATCCTCTCAAGGTAGCCATCTAGGGGCCATCAAAACATTAATATCATCTGTTGCCAAAGGAGAACAGTTCCCGGGAGGCTGATGCCACTGATGAAGGAGAAAGAGATCATTTACCTGCAGCTGGAAGTGGGTGGAATAAGGTGCATAGAGCGTATCCTCCATCTCTTGATGACCTGCAATAGGAAAAGGAGAAATTAAATCATTAGGGGTGCCCACCTGCCCGCACCCCATTGTACCTCCTGCCTCAGTGTGCAATTGTGTCTGTTTAATCACCTATCTCTCCAGTAGATTTTCAGTTTCTTGCAGGGATCCTCCAGCCTGGGACTCAGTAAGCACAATACTGGTTGAATAAATGAATAACTATGATCACCAGGGAAACCCCTTTCCCTAACTTCACCAAGCCCCACTTTTCCTAGGACCTTCAAAAGTACATTTAAAAAGCCATAAAAAACAAAACCAGTCTTTTCAGATATAGATCTGATCACAGGTGTAACTAGAATGACTCTCACAGGCAAATTACCTACTTCCTTCACTGCCTGACAAGGAAAATACAGATACATTCATATCACTTTCTTTGGGAAGGTGCAGAATTGAGGAGCAACTATTTTCTGTGCATTTGGGGGAAACTCAGAAGGTTTTAAACTTGGAAACAGAAGGGTAAACACATGCAATTGTCATGAATGAAATTTAAAGCAATTCATTTATTTCCCACCAAAGTGACTGCCTAATTTGCCCAACAAACAGACAAACTTCTGCGTGTAAGATCTTAGGGAGCACAGACGATTAACCAGAATGATCCTTGCCTTGCAGCTGATGCTGGAGAGCAAGGACTACGTAGAAGGTCCGTCAGTAAGTACTGGATGAGGCAGACTGACAAGCACATTTCAAAGTCCTACAGAGGCTCAGGGCAGAGTGTTGGACAGGAAGGAGGCTTGGCACCGTTAAAGGACAAGAAGAGGGGTGACCGAGGCCACACAGCAGGGGACAAAAACACCTTGAGCCCAGACGGAGGCAGGAAAGTGTAGTGACTTGGTTTGTTTAGACAAAGAGGTTGTTGGTTCTCACGTGGAAGGATTTGACAAGAGCTAGTGGGGACTATGAGCAGCAAAGTGTGGTGGCCAGAGAAGCATGTCAGGGAGACGGAGCTGACAGTGGCCCATAAAATGAACAAAGGAAGGGAAGAGTCATCCAGGAAAGACAACAGGGAGTTCAGGAGTGAGGTGACAGAGAGAAGCCAGAGGCACAGACAGAACAGACAGGGTGGTAAAATATCCTGCTGCCCAGCTCCCCTCACTTCAGACCTCCAGTGCCCAGGAAAGGGACCACAGCTGCTGTGAGAAGCCCCTGAATATGTCACCCCTCAGGCTCTAAGAAAAGAGAACAGACCTATTTTCATCTGGCACCTAGAATCTGGCCTTGGGTGTCCTCACTGCTGTCCCAGAACCACCTACGCACTGTGGTTACACTCAAAGATCAATATAAACCCGGGAGACCAAGGAACAGAGCCCTCTGGATAAGGGCAGCTTCTGGCTCTCAATTTAGTCTCTTCTTAAGAGAACAACACTGGGGCGGCACCTGTACCTTAGTGGGTAAGGGCACCGGCCACATATACGGGGGCTAGCAGGTTCAAACCCAGCCCAGGCCTGCTAAAACAATGACAACTGCAACAACAAAAAAAATAGCCGAGCATTGTGGTAGGTGCCTATAGTTCCAGCAGAGACTGAGACTGAGACTTGGGAGGCTGAGGCAAAAGAATCGCTTAAGCCCAAGAGTTTGAGGAGGTTGCTGTGAGCTGTGACGCCACAGCACTCTATCCAGGGCGACGTTTGAGACTCTGTCTCAAAAAAAAAAGAAAGAACAACACTGGAACTGGTCTTCTAGAGTGTGAGGTGAGAGCAAAATATTTGACTCTTTTACATCAAATATGATCTATTCCCTCCCATGGGCCTGGACATGCAATAAAACGTGACTCTTTGTGCGGAACCAGAATCCCCAGTAACTTTATGGAGATTCTTGCCGGTTTATGAAAAAGGGGCTTTCTCTCTTCTCTGCTCTGGGATCACTGCTGGAGATCATGGCTTGGCTTTATGCACTCTAATCTACAAAGGCTCCCCAGTTCCTAGTTATCTTTTATATCAAACACAATCTCACCTACTTATCACTAGGAATCACTAGATCTTTTCTATTCATTTGTTTTCCATTTCAGAGAAATGGAGGATTCAGTTGGGCGGCGCCTCTGGCTCAAAGGAGTAGGGTGCTGGCCCCATATGCTGGAGGTGGCAGGTTCAAACCTAGCCCTGGCCAAAAACTGCAAAAAAAAAAAAAAAAAAGAAAGAAAGAAAGAAAGAAAAAGAAATGGAGGATTCGGAGAAAGCTCCATGGTACCCATCCTATGCGAGATTACACCACAGGCTGGGGGAGGTGAGAGCGTCCTTCCCTTGTCTGTACCATGAGTAAAAAGTATAAAATTAAGATACTCAGAAGCCAGCTTCTGCTTGTCTCTAACTGGAAGGAAGAGTTTAAGAAAGAACTGAGCTTTGGGGAACTTATCTACCCTATCAGGGGTACGATCTGGAAAATCTTGCATGTTCCTTACAGTTAAAATATCCTCTGATGCTCCCTCTCTTTCTACCAGGGATTCTCCACCCAACCAGGCTGCATACCTTCAGTGATGTCCTCTTGGGAGTAGGCTCTGTTCTCTACACCATAGCTCTTCTTCATGAGCTGAGGTTTACATAAAGCATCCTCAACTGGGTAATCCATGGGATTCTGTTGCTTTGTAAGCAGCTGAAACTCGGGGATGACATAAATCCACAGGAAAACCCAGCCATTGGCCACCAAGGCAGAGCTGAGGATGGTGTCATCCCACTGGTGGTGAAAGGCAGGCAGCAAGAGCAGAGTGATCCATGTCACCCAGATGGCAGCAGAGAGGAGCGTGGTGAAGAAGATGTGGGCCCCGTGTCTCTTCCAGCCGGTGAAGGATCCACAGAAGGTGAAGGAGGACATGAGGAAGGTCAGCGCCATCAGGAAGAGGACGTAGATGAGCAGCATGACAAAGTCTTCATTGCGACGAGGTGCAGAAAGCTCAGAAAAGACATTGACGTCGGTCCTGTTCATGGTCAGGATGACATATTCAACAGCGATCACATCCTGTACCAGGCTGAAGCCCACAGCCAGGCCCAGAGTCACCAGGCAGGACAGGGGCTTCCCCCCATGGACGAGCTTCGTCAAGTTGACAGCATGAGCCAGGAGGCAAGAGAAGCAGATGGAAAAGAAGACCCCAAAGAGGAGGAAGCGAGTGAGCCCCATCTTCCCATCCAGTCTGATGAGGAAGGCAAAGGTCATGCCGAAGACCCCCAACACCCCCAGGAGGAAGAAGAACTGGGTGGGGAGCATTTTCCGCCTGCTGGAGTCCTGAACCCTGCAGATGAAGGCCAGGAGAGCGAGCATGAACACCACCGAGGCCACAGCCCCGGCTGCAGCCAGTGCTTCTAGGATGATGCCCCAGGGTTCAGCAGTATCACAAAGTCTGTGGTATCTGGGGTCCAAGCCTTGGCGGCAACCAGGAGCTGCTGTTGTAGTCATTCTGGTCTCACCAGGAGAACGTGTTGTACTCACTTTGATCCTGCAGGAAAGCAAAGTTAAGAGGAGGATGGTGGTGAATCTCTCTTACACTGTCATCAGGCACAAAAGACTAGAAAAGGATTAGAAAAAAAAAAAAAAAATTGTATGTTTTGCTCTTGACCTGACTCCATTAGATAAGGCTACTACTGACTCTTCCCTACCTCGTGTGGCAAATTCTAAAGACTGATGACGGAAGGAGAAAAAAGCTCACACTTGCCTCCCTACAACTTAACTATATTAATATTTACCTTGAAGCCAGAGGACCTAATGCTCTGAGTAAGTGTTTTGAAGCCTAACTTCAAAAACATAACAATGTAAATAAACTACCAGGGTCCCTGGTATTCTGGGATCGAGTTCTCTTAGGAATTAGTGACACATCTAATTTTAAAGTCAACACTTTCATCATAATTTAGCAGTGTCAAGTTGGCTCCGCCTTTGGTCCTGTTCCAGATATCATTTGTAAGCATTCCAGTCTCCCATGGAGGACAGGAGTTATCCTAACTGCAGATTTTTCTACAGAGGCCAAACATTCTTTTCAGAACTGCTCAATCCTCTTCTTAGGCTCTGTGGTCTCTTGATAGAATTTTTTTGCCCTCTTAAGATGTTTAAAGATGGCTCTACTAATTCCAAAGAGTTATGTAAGGAGTCTTCCCTATCATAACTAGATCTAAATTAGAGACCTGTAAGGAGGGAAATCCTGGATGATACAAAAACAGCAAGTAATCCAACTAAAACTATTACTAATAGCTAACATATTCATTTTTCTTTTAACGACGGGTCAGATTTTACCACTAATTATAGAGAGAGAAGGAGAGCGAGAGAGATGAGTTTATTTTTACAGCAACCCTAAGAGGTAAAAATTATTAGCCTTATTTTACAGATGAGGAAACTGAGGCAGAGAGCTGTCAAGTTACTTGCCCAGCATCATAAGCAAAGAAATGGCACAGCAAGGATTTGAATCCAGAGTTCATGTTCTCAATGACGCTAGGTGCTACCTCTCCAGTGAATTCTAATTGGCCTTAAAATATAATCTGAGGGCTCGGCACCTGTAGCTCAGTGAGTAGGGCACCAGCCACATATATTGAGGCTGGCGGGTTCAAGCCCGACCCAGGCCAGCTAAACAACAATGACAATTGCAACCAAAAAATAGCCGGGCATTGTGGTAGGCGCCTGTAGTTCCAGCTACTTGGGAGGCTGAGGCAAGAGAATCACTTAAGCCCAGGAGTTTGAGGTTGTTGTGAGCTGTGATGCCACAGCACTGCATCAAGGGCTACAAAGTGAGACTCTCTCAAGAAAAGAAAAGAAACTGGCTCTCTAAGCTTAACTCTATTTTATATAGTCATTTAGTCAACACATCTTTCCTGAGAACAGGCATATTCCCCACCATAGTAGAAGAGATAGGTGGAGGTGGGTATCATCTGCCACTATAGCCACCAAGGAAAAGTCACCTGCACACTCCGCCCTGCTGGAAGCTGCACCACAGCCCTCCCTACCCCAAGCAGAGCAGAGTGGGTAATGTTCCTCCCCACAGAGAAGTGCAAAATGAGAAACAGGAGGAAAAAGAAAGGCAAATGAGGTTCAGAGACAGCAACCCTGGAAACACAAATACCCCGGGTCTGATCTGCTTTGCCTACCGACATTCCTCTTGGGAGGAGTCGGAGAGGGGAGGTGGAATACGGTGAATGTGGAAGAGGAAAAACTTCGCCTCCTGCCAGGGCAGCAGGGACAAGGGAAGGCACCAGGCCTATGCACTGCATTCCATTTCTCCACACCCTCTGCCATTACTCACAAGGGTCACGTCTAGCAGGAAAGGTGTTTTCTTTCCTTGGCTCTCTCACTCTCCTCACCCCTCCCTGCCAATTGCTCCTTCCCCACCCTGCGGGGTAGTGCTGTTTGTGGACAGGTGTTTGTGATCATCATTACCTGATAATTATGAAAGACTTTGAACCTGATGACTCTAAACCTTGACAGAGATTGATGAGGTTCTGACATAAAGGCAAATTCTGGTGCTAGACAGGGACAGGGAGAGAGATACTCAGACCTACAGACAGACTCCTTGGTTTTTCTGCAGCTGTGCCGACTGCAATCCTAAGAGCAATGGGGACAAACGTGGGCAGAGGAGAAAACCTACTTCCCCACATTTCACCTCCACCTCCCACCTCCTGATCATGCAAAGGGGGTGGAGAAACAGTCCCCGAAATGCCCTTAAAATATCATTTAAAAAACAAGAACCCTTTTCCAAGTTTTCATTATGACATTTTTATAATGGAGGCCCATGTATCCATCACTTGGTTTAAAAAATTATTACTAAATGGCCAATATTGCTTCCTCTACATTCCCCGCATTACTCACTAGATTATTTTTAAGCAAATCCCAGACATTGTATAATTTTATCCACAGATCTATTCATATGTTTCTCTAAAAGATAAAACCTCCTCCTTAACCACACTTAAACGAACAGTGATCTTTTAATATCAAATATCCAGTAAGGGTTCATCTTCACTAATTCTCTCACAAAGGACTTTTTTAAAAAGGAAGGAAGGAAGGAGGGAAGGGAGGGAGGGAGGAGAAGGGAGGGAGGGAGGAGGCAGGAAAGAAGGAA